CTCTGTTAATATTATATATGATCCTTTAAATGGCCCCATTACCTTTCCTTTAGCAGGCTGCCCCTTCTCGTACTCCAAATCCCCCCATCTGAGTAATTAGAGAAGGACTACCCTTCCTGTGATATTAGGTTTGTGTTCACCTGTAACAGAAAAAGAGACGAGACTAACCCCTTCCAAACCTGCTTTGGGTAAATGGCTTCAGAGGGAAAATGAGAGCTCCACGTGTCAATATGTGTTGTAGTGGATGGAATCCTTTCAGCAAGGGGCACTGCCTGCTTTGTGGCACTGACACATTGGCAAAGATCCATTCTGTACACTCCTTGCTAAAAGTAAGATGTCATCCAGAGTTTAGAGCCCCCTCTGTGCTGTACCAACCTTAAAACAATCTGACTCGCATCAGTGGATTTTACTAGTTCCAAATGCGGTTGTAGCTGCCTCATCACCATTTTCTCTGCAGCATTCTCCGTATAGGAAAAATTAGCAATGTTTGGCAAGGTTATCAGCATCAAGGGGTTTTTGATGCAAGGGTTTAATCATGAACAGTTTATGAAGACCCTAGCTTCATTTCAGAGAGCAAAATATGATGATTCTCAGTTCCTCTGAAGAGTGTACCCGGTGCCTGGCCCCCAAGTTTTCAATACCAGGATAAGCAGGCCAAACAGGACATCTAAGATGGGAACTTCACTGAATATCAAGTGAAGTCGTCTGCCTTGTGGGAAGTCATTAGAAAAATACATTTTTGCAGGTACCATTTTGAAAGTATTAGTCAGGGCCCAAATCCTACGTGTAAAAGTCCTTGTGTCAGTGCTAAAGAGCATTTTGAAGTCTTTTGTTAAATCTTACTGTTTGGAAGTTTGTACATTTCTAAAAGAGTCCTTTGCAGCTTATAGAAAGGATGGATTTTTAAACAGAAAAGTCATCTAAACAAGGTATGGCAAAAGAAATGTGCTAATCATCTCCAAGGCAAGAGATGTCATAAAAAGTGTCAGTATGGTGGATGTGATGGCTAATTGAAGAAAAATATTTCCATTTCAGCCATAAGAAAGCAAAAAAGAATCACATGGAAATTCAGAAGTGAAAGTATATCCCAGAAATCAAAAGATCAATACAAAATCTTCTACAGATTGAGACTTGTGATAAAAATCACATTAGAGAAATTAATTCATACTAAGCTAGAAGTGATCTATGTCCTATCTTGAATAGTTTTAAACTTCAGCTTGAGTCAAAACGTACCTTTTCTAAAAGCTTCCACTCTCAGCTTGAGCATCCATCATACTGCTATTTTTTAATTTTTTTCCTCCTGACTGTTTGCTTTCACTGTGTGTTCTATCTCTGCTCTGAAGTTTTCTTCTACTTCTGACCATTAGACAGTTCAGACTTCTGTTTCCGAAGGTGAAAAACCCTTCACCTTCTATACAGGGGTTTAGACTTGCTTCAATTCACCTCTTAACCTTCTTTCGAAAAAACTGAAATAGAACAGTCTTAAATTTCTCACCATATGGCAAGTTTTCCAGATTTCAGATTGTTCTTGTTCTCAGAACATTCTGCAGTTTACAGCACCCATGTTAAAATAATTCTACACTCAACGGTAAAACTGGTTTTCCTATTTCTATTGAGTAGTCCTCTGCTTTGCACCCAGCCTACTTCATATTCAGCTGAATATCCATGATGATTCCCAAGTCTCTCCTGGAGACACTGCTTTCCAACTATGCAATTCCCAGTTCTTAAAAATCTAACTTGAATGTTGGGCTTTGCATTTAGTTGAAAACACACGACTTTCTAATCTGTCTGAGCCCTGTAAGGTCCTGGTCTATTGGCTTGGGCTTTTATGTATCAGAGAAATAAAAAGGATAACCAATAGTGGTAACAGGAGTAAACAGAAACGCCATTGGTTTGTTTACTTATAAATACTTTATACTCCAACAGATTTACCCATTTGCCAGTTTCTAACTCCCTTCACTGTAAGCAACATCAGTTTTGTGGTAGCTTTAGGGAAGCATCCACATGAGCGTGCCCACCCATATGTACCACCCTCTCTGGGTTTGAGCAAGGAAAGGAGGAGGATGCCCAGAACCTCAGCTGCCCTACACTTGCTAGATCAGCTGACATAGTGCACTTGGCAGAAGGCAATTTGCCTACTCTGTGTTATTTCTGCACTGCAGTAAGGAATTTACCAATAAAGAAATTCTAACCTAAGGAATTTCTCCACTTAGAATTACAAAGGGAAGGTTTTCTTCCAGACAAAATGGGGGCAGATCTCTTGCATAAAAAATGGTGCTAAAGGACAACCTGAAGGAAGTGCATGTGCTGACTCTGTCATCTGGTCTCTAAATTTGTGGCAAACTCAGGAGCCTGGACATCCCAGAGGCACTTGGCACAATTTGGGTGCAGTGTAGACAATACCGTGTTAAAGGTACTGGTGCTGCTGCTGTTGCTGTTAAAATGACAAGTGACCTTTTTCTTACTGGTGCCTTTAAGTTTGTCATGAAAGCAAGTATTTTAGAACAGCATTTAAAATGCCTATTCAACTGCTGAGTGTTGAGCACATGTTAATAACATTTTCTCCAGATATGGTAGTTTATGATAAATGTTACCAGATTTTGTACTGTTCGTGTAGTATGCTACTAAACACTAAGACAAATGGGCCCACTGAAAGGGTGTTTCCTTTGGAGGACACAAGCTGCAGACCACCCATAGAATACACAGAAATAATTAAGTGTCAGGATAAAAAGCTAGAGCAAAATATTAGTGTCTCATAATCCTGATGAATAAAAGATATTTTAAAAACAAAGACTATACACAGAGGTGTTTTGAAAACATAACATAAAGGCCACAACAGCATTTGGGGGAAAGGAAAAAAGAATACCCCATCATATTACCATACTGTTTGAAAATTTCTAAATATTTGTGTGCTGGTTTTTTACTTCTGGCAAGCTGCAGAGAGGTGTGTGAAATTATGCAGAACTGTAACGACCTGTGTCTTCATTCATACCAGTCTCTTGCTACAATAAAAAAAAATATTTTTGAGAGGTATTCGAGAACTACATTGCTGTAAAAAGGAACTCATATGGCCTTGCGACTGAAAACATTGCTTGCAAAAATTGGAGACCCTGCAGTCCTGAGACAGAAATCTGTAAGATGAATTTGAGTAACTTCCAGAGCAAACAGAGAGTAGAATATGGTTATGTCAGGTCTTCTGCAAAACTTTCAGAGACTTCAGAGAGAACAAAATTGCACCTCTGTCCTATTTAAATGTTAGAGAAGAAACTTTCCAAAGACACAGATATTACTTGGGCACCCAGTTCCTCAGAAGTATTTTCTGGAACACCTTCCGCCTTGTTTGATTATATACAATACAGGTAAGTAGCAAAGGTTCAGGCTCAGCCATCACAATCTCTTTAGCAAAAGCATAAAGGTTTACAGGACTTGAAAGTATAAAGCATTGAAGCTTTGGGTATTAAATTAGCAAGCAGCTTGAGCATATTATTTAGAAGTTATTCTGTATTACTGGAGAAATATAACCTTTCTCTATAAAATTGGTTTTGAATTTTAGACCTAGCTCTGCAGTCAGTTCCCTGGTGGCCATTTAACCCATCGTGTTTCCCAGGTGTTGTGAGGGAACATGACGGTTGGCATGAAACAAATGCTCCCCTCCCATGCAGACATTGTAGCCCCACACTGAAAGGAAACTAATATCTTTCAAATTTTGCTGTTGAGCGGGAGAAAGGCAGTGAAATAGAGAAAATCTCCCAGAACGGTCAGTCATTTGGCTGAAAATGCCGAAGTTCAACCACCTCCTCTGCCTCACTCGGTAATTACAGAAGAGTACAATAGTTACAAACTGTAAACCCAAGTTTACACAAAGTGTATAATAAACCTCCTTTGTAATATTACCTGCTCCTTAAGGCCAGATCTTACAAACGGATTTGTGAGATTAGACCCTTGCATCCGCACAAGCCATATTGACTTCAGTTTTGAAGTGTTTAAAGGAACTCATGCTACTTGATCTTTGTGCTGGTCTTCTGTATTGGAGCAAGTTTCCCATGCAGTTTGGAATACAAATGTGATAAGATGTATATTTTTTTCTTCAGTGCCACCAAAACCTGGTTTTATTCATACTATCACTAAAATAATTTTTAACAGGGAGATATCAGAAAAGTCAAAGACATTGGGAGAATTATTTGAAAAGTAAATGACCTTTCCTTAGCCCCCACAGTGTCTTTTAGTAACCTAGAGATTCTGATTTATCCTGAAAATGGTTGTCCTTGTGATCTGGAGGATGTGCCACAGAAAACACCTGGTGAAACAGAGTACAGCACACCATAATGTCTTTTTTCTTTAATTAAAAGAAAAATAAAGGGAATAAAAAGACTGTTAGTTCTTTTCAAAATCCACCCCTTCTGAAATATTTCCTTTGTCTTTAAACTCTGTTTTCCAGATGACTTTAAGCAACTGTTATTTTACAGAACATCACAAATATTATTAAGAAAGCATAATTCCAAACTGGTCTGATTACTTTGATTAAACAGGGAGCCATGTAAAGAAGGTAGCCTTTTTATATCATAAAAATGATGATAATAGACTAAGTCTCATCAGTCAAAAAGCTTTATTACTGTCTACTGTAGAAAAACAGTTTTGCTACTGCTGAATGATATATCCCTAGCTAGTCACAATATACCTCATTTCCTGCTTAGATAACAGAAGATACTAAGATAAAGTGTGAAAGGAATAAGGAGCTGTGTGATATAGATATATGAAAGAATAAAAAATGTTATAAAAGTAAAAATGATGTTCTGCTTAAAAACTTGTGTTTGAACTAAGTTTCAAAAGAGAAAACAAAGATCCCCAAGTTTGTGTGTGCTTACTTTGGATAGGACAGACTTGCTAATAAATCCAGGACCAAATAGGACAGAAGAAAAGACTGTTTACAGACTAAAATACGCTAAGACGTTCACAGCACCTGGCACAGCTTAAAACTAAATTGTGTTATCTTACTGTAGGTTCAGAAAACTGTCTTGAACAGAAGCTGAGAACACCTCGTCGACGATGTCAGCAGCCCAAAATGCTGAATAGCCCTGAGGACAACATGTACTATAACCAGTTAAACGTGAGTTCAAAGTGGCAATAAAGCTGTTTTACTGGCTTTGTTTCCAGTTAATAATTCTGTTATTAATACCTGTTTCAGCCCCTCCAGCCCCACCCCCACGTTCTTCTGCTCTCGTCTTGAACATGTGCTTATGCTCTTTATCTGTTGCTTTCATGTCAGGATGTCTGCCTTCACGGTGAATAATTGATGTGGTTTATCAAAGACGAGCAAGATGCATGCTTCATCAGGCTCACTTGAGCCCTTTGATCAAAAAAATTATGCTGTGACTTCTGATATTATCAGCATCTGCTTGCATTCAACACAAAATCACTTTGAATTAAAAATTAACGACTTGCTGCTTTGCTTTGACTGTGTGTTCTTGGCCCTCTCCACAGGGAACTCTAGAATATCAAGGGAGCAAGAGGAAGCCAAGAAAACTTGGGTAAATATCTATCTTCTTAGTTCTAAGCAACTGTAAACAGAAGAAGTCCTTTGTGATATTACAGAATATGAAAAACTTTCTAGAGAGGTTTCTAAAAATAAACAATTAACATATTTCTGTGCATTGACATTGGACATTTTCTGCAGAAGCAAATGTAAAACTTGCATGTACTGCTGTCTGCAGACACTAGAACTGATTCTTACAAAATATTCTCCCCAGCTCGCTCTGAGTACTACTGCTACAAAAAATTAGCTTTCTTCATGTTTTTAAGTGCATTTAGCACTAGTGAAAGGTGCCAGATGAAGGGTGTTGAAACTGAAGTTCTCTGACCTAGAACACGGACAGAAGCCCTGACAGCTTTGCGGCAGCACACTCACAATGGGCTTCTGCCCTCCTGGGGGAGCACATTTTAAGAACTGACAGAGAGGCAGCTCAGCCCAAAGGGGAGTTGCTCCTTCTCTGTTGAGCTGAGTCAGTTCTCTGTCACATGAGCAGTTATCACCTGGTGATAGATAGAAATCACAGAAAACAATTTACAAAAGCCAGGTTGGCTACTGTACAATTGCCAAAATATATTGTTGACTGATCACATGGACCAGAGAGAACTGATAGTTGCTTGGTGTTGCAAATGCATCTACTCCAAAAATGTACAAGAACTTTCTGTATTATTTCCTCTGATTTTAATTAATATAATAACTGTATGAATAGGAGGTCTTTGAGTCAAGGTTAAAGCCCAAAAATTTGCACAACTGTGCAAGATTTGGTTTATTTTATCTCCCTCTCTTAATTTAAAAAGGCTGTATTCCTGTTCAGGGAATAAAAACACTAACTTGGGACTGCAGTGCTCATCATACATGACAGGAAAATGAAAGACCCTTGATGTCAATAGTGCTTTCTCCCAAAATTGGTGATGTGGTCTTTGACTCGTATTCACAGCAAACCAAAAATACATTATCAAAGTCATACCCTACTTGTGGAACATACACAGACAAAAAAGCCACATTATTCAGATGAAATGCCCATTTGATGCAAATAGTTGATCTGTCGTTCTGTACGCCCAAACTGAACGACTATATTGCATTTCACTGATCCTCAGAACCATTCAGAGTATAATCATGAAAAAGTAACAGCAAAGTAAATGTGTAAAACGTATGTCTTTCTCATCAAATCATCCCATCTTTTTTTTTCCTTTCTTGTATTAGCACTCTCCATTTTCATATTCACAGAGAAGTTTCTATTTCTGAAGCTATTGACAGAATTAATTTTTTAAGTTAATAAAATGTTGTTTGTTTTCTTTCAAGCCAAATCAAAGTGCTGGATGGAGAGGATGAGTATTACAAATCATTGTCAGCTGTTGATTCTATCCCTGAAGATGACAGCTTTCTCAGTTCCCCATCTTCTCCTTCTTCAAGAGGCATGTCTTTTGCTCAAAGCTGAACCTCACTTACTGTATTGACTAATACTGGTAAGAGTATTTTCGTGCTGGTAATGTCTTCCTATTAACTTTGTGCATGTGTGTTTATATAATATATTAAAAAATATAATTTCAGCTATTAACTTACTTTTACTGATTTAGACCTGGGTTTGCAGCTGTAAATTGTCCCATTTAGCTGTATTTCTATAAGCAATTCGGTAAAAGGGAGCAGCACTACCTGTATGTGCTGATGTTTGTAATGGACACGTTTCTTTGGCAGCAAGGTTAGATTATACAGTTCCGAACCCTTCTTCCCTGCTCCCCCCCGACTGCTGTTCCTACCCTGGGCCATCCCTTCTGTTGTGCTGGCACAACTGCTGGTAGAGCTGTGTGAAAAATAAGATCGAGGAACTGAACTAGATTAAAAGAACTCTGTACTAAAAATCTTAATTTGGGGTCATAGTGAAAATGTTTTGTATTTCATTAGCCTGGTATTAAACATCATCCTTTATAACTTTCTGTGCTGTGTGTGGCTTTTAATAGTACAAAAAGGTACGGAGTAAAATAATGTAAAATAATAATTGTGTCTCAATTTAGCTTGTAAATATTTTTCTTATAAAGTATTAGTTTACCAGAAGTTCAACTCAAAGGACTATTTCAAATATAAGAAGCAAAACAGTTTTAAAAGCTAACATTTCACACACTGCTTCATATAGTCGTGGCTGAAACCATCACTATGACTAGTTATTCTTGTTATCCGTGCAAGTATTTAATTTCTTTCTTAACCTGCATCTCTGGGCTCCAGTGTATGTAACAGCCGTTTTGTATGTAACAGGGAAAAAAAATGTCACCTGCCAATTTTTCTACTTGCTTTTCCCTTTCTTTCCAAATCCTCAGTGAAACAGTATGTAACTTTCTATGGAATGCTGAGATGCTTTGCTGGTAACTGTTTCCATGACAGAAGCTGACTATTTTGTCTTATTCTTTACTTTCTGTTTCTGAGCCACAGTTTTGATCTGTGACAATTCTTTGCTTCTTTTCCATACAGACTCCTGTCAAAAACTTTTGGAAATAAAACTTTCACGTCTGCCGCCTTACAAATTTGCTCAAAATTATTATTTCCTTTTTTTTTTTTTTTTGAAAAACCATACTGATTAAATCTGATCATGTATTATGTAGACCTAATTATGATCCTTGGTTTTGTCTCCCCTCCAATGGGTTTACCCTGATCTGTGCTAACAAACCTTCATTGTGCAGGTGCAGTTCACACCTGTTCCTTAAGCTACAGAATTTTTTACTATCAGGGTTCACTGGCACCATCTTTTTGGCCACAGAACAAGGAAAGATGGCACGGAAAATGAGACCCAAGTGCAGTCAGGGCATCCCTAAGCCAGAATAGGGTTTGAAAGGAGAAAAGGTAATGAAATAGATAGTTCAGCAAAAGCTTTGTCTCTCCTAATAAACACAGAAATTAAGTCAGACAGGGCAGATGAGGATGAGAGAAGGATTCAGCTGTTCCAGAAAGAACAAACCTTCACTCATTCCTCACCCAAAATGTGACGTAAGGTTGAAACTAAAAGTTAAAATCCTGCCAGAGGTTGAAGTCATTCCATTCACTCCTCATTCTCCTCTGCTGTATATCCAGGTAGATGTACTTGAAAGGCACTTTAGAGCCTTTAAAATTTAGGGTCTCCTTAAACAGAGAATTGGTAAGTAGCTGCAGATGAATTAATGATATTCAAAAATGCAGTGCAAACATGAATGGCAACTAATATGAATGCATGTGTGCAGATCAGTTTCTTTACATTTTGTCAAAATGTAACAAGAATGAGTATTTGTTATGATACCTCATTAAAAATAACATATAACTTTTTTTCTCCTACACACTATATAAATGATCTATTAATTTGTAACATATCTGGATAGGAAATAACATTATTTTAAAAGAATAAAATTACTTAGTCTTTTCTTATATTGTAATATAAGAAAAAACGTGGAGTTCTAGCAGTATTGATGCTTTGTGCTTCCATCCTTCCTTTTTGAAAACCATTTGTGAAAAGAAAGTTCTATTATTACTGCAATTCACATTATTATTATGCATAGTTAGAGTTTGTCAATTGTTTTAGTTAAATGGTGGTGAGGTTTCCAGCTAGGTATTATGTCACCTGTCTAAAACCCAACAGTTTACCTTACATAAAGTAATACATTACTCTGAGTAGTTCTATTAATTTCATAAAGATGTAAGGGAAAGTGAAAAATAATATATAATTCAGTGAAGCACTTAAGCCAAAGCCTAAGTCCCACTGAAATCAATGAAATTTCAGCATGTGATAAGTGCTTTGCTGAATGTGGGGGCCCGAGTTAACAAGAGCAGCTTCAGGACATTAAATAGTAAAGCACAAGCAAAATGCGAACGCTCCCTAAGTACATTCCTTAGGTTTCTTCTTTTTTCTTCTTCCCAATTGTTTAGCTTGTATCAATCTCAGATATCAGAAATGGACTTCAAAGAGATTTTAAGCAGTCTTTAATTGCATGGAAAGGGTAAAATACAATATTTTCCTTGTTATATGCTATGCCACTATCTACCTCTGCTATAACTTTTTGAATTATTTTAATGTCACTAGTATTTTTATACTGAAGTTATTGTTCAAAAGCTGCTGTTGAGTAGTGTCTTTTCTTTCTTGCTACTTCTTGGCTAAAAGCTGTGCACAAAGCCAGTCTGTGCATTTTATTATTTCACAACTTAGCCCCCTTTCCTCATTTGTTTTTGGTCAATTCACTTTACCCTCACCAGATAACCCCTGTGAGGTGGCCTCCTTTCATCCTCATTTTAGAGCACATATATGCCTTTAGATTATTAAAGGCCATATCCTCAGCTTGCTGTAGAGCCATGCAGACGCATTAAAACTGGCCTAACAGATGAACTTCTGTTTCCACATTGATAGATGAGTGTGTTGGGGTTTATTGACTTGTGCGTAAAAAGGAGTACAGGAGACATGTCAGTATGATGTTCATGGTCAATGGGAGCATATATTAGAATCATAGAATGATAGAAAGGTTTGGGTTGGAAGGCACCTCAAAGATCACCTAGTTCCAACCCACCTGCCATGGCAGGGACACCTCCCACCAGACCAGGTTGTTCAAGGCTCCATCCAGCCTGGCCTTGAACACGTCCAGGGATGGAGCAGCCACAGCTTTCTTAGGCAACCTGTGCCAGTGTCTCACCACCCTCACAGTGAAGAACTTCTTCCTTGTGTCTAGTCTGAACCTGCACTCTCCCAGCTTCCAACCATAACCTCTCATCCTATCACTGCAGGCCCTTGTAAAAAAGTCCCTCCCCACCTTTCCCGTAGGCCCCCTTCAGGTACTGGAAGGCCGCTAGAAGGTCTGCCCGGAGCCTTCTCTTTTCCAGGCTGAACAAGCCCAGCTTTCTCAGCCTGTCCTCATAGGAATTGCTTAGATTTTCTCATTTGGTTTTGATACCGTTGAAGCATTGTTCTGATTTATTTCCTTTCGTGTATATTATCCTAAAATATTAATGTATTTTGCTTAATAGTTCGTAACATGTCCTGTTCTTAATATTTTATAAAAGTAAAGAGTTTAAATCTTGTTAGGAAGAGGAAAATTTCTTAGACAGAATGTAATATATTAAACAGTTTTCAGCAGATGGGAGAGAAAAGGGTGAAGCTCAACAAGGGATTTTAGTAGATTTTTTTCTGTAGACCTTAATGGCACTAGAAAACGGGTTTTGCTGAGGACAATTTCTGCCTTTCAGTTATGGCAGCTTAAAAACTTCTCTCTGTGCCAACAAAAATCGGGCAGGGAGCTTTTGGAGATTAGCCCCTTTCATTTGGTAATTTTAAACGTGCTTCACACTTAACATTTACATCACTTTAGTAGCATAAAGGGACCTTAGAATAGGAGTAAATTGCAGCCATCTTAAATTTGCCCTCCCTGTGACCTCCCTCACCTTACACTGTAAGAGTGGTGGAAAGGGCTTTTGTGCACTGAAGGTCTTTTAAGTGGCCCCTATCAGGCCATCCAAGGAGCTGTTGTTATTTAGCAGCTTATAAAAAATTACCGTAAGTAGTGTAAAGCTAAAGACTTTGCTAAGTCCAGTCAGACCAAAAGTTGATTTTCCTTTTGGTGGTAACAATCAAAAATAAGTTTTTCAGTGGTAGGTACAGAAAGTAACCCACACTGAACAATTACAAAGTCATCTTCCTGCAAGGAAAATTTCTTCCTAATAGTAGGCAACTACTGATTATCTTATGTCATTTAGCGTAGTTGCCAATATAAGCATATGTGCTTATATAATAGTTTTCTTTATTTTATATAACTGTCAATGTTTATACTTCCAAGCAATTCTCTCACTGTGTTTTAATTCCACTAAGTTCCTGACTTCTGGTACACTGTGATACTAAACGCTATACAGAGCACACACATGCATACAAACACAAAGTGGATTTATTGTTTCAGTTTTAAACAAAAGGAATGTATTTAAACGTGGTCCTTTTTAATTGAGTTGGAGACCTTCTGACTTGTGCTGTCAGAGGATAAAAGGGAACTACCAATTTACTTTCTTTATACTACTTTTTACATACCACCAGTGCACTTCTTGTTGAGTGTAAATGGTTGCACACTATAAAGATTTGTAAGGAATCTCCTAGTGTTGCTATTCTTCTGATTAACCAGATACATATAGTACATACAATTAAAAATAAAGCCATATGGCACAAAAGTATCATCCTATAAGAAACAGGTAAGTAGATTTTAATATCGATACAGGCACAAGACATGGCATGTAATAAACTTACCCATCCTGCTTTTAACTCTGACAACAAGATATGAGAAATAATGCCAGTTTTTTGTTAACATTAGAAATACATTTCATTAATGTGCCTTTTCTTTAAGACTGTTCACCCTGGGAAGAGTTGTAGCAGAATGCTTAGCTAACAGAAAATGTTTTTGCTTAAGAACAAAGCAGGACTCCCAGAGTGACAAAAGTAGCACAGAATGCTATGAAAACCAAAGGCTGGGGAGCAATCCTCTGGGCCAGAGCTAAAGGTTACAGAACTCAGTGAGAGACCCTGTGTCTCCTTTGTGCTGGGCACTGGAACTGGTAAGGGAGGAGGCCAACAATTCATAATAATAGTGCAGGCTGGTGCCCTAACTCATCTTAATGGATTTGTCAAGAATTATTGGAAATTATTTTATTACATTAATCCAGTATCAGTCAGAACAGTAAATATATACATTGTGTTATTAGGGAAGTGTTGTATTACTCATGTGCTACATGATGCCAAAGGACATAGGAACAGATAAGTGTAAAATACATCTTGGAATAATGTTTCCAGCAACCAGATTACATATTATTGATCAGGACAGTAATAGATTAAATTCCTTGCTTTTGTTTGGCAGGCCTATTTTTTTAATTAGAGAGGGAGATTATTCTTTCAATAATTTAAATAGTATTTTATAAAATAGTTGGCAAATGGCGATGGCAACTAGGTAGATCAACATGT